ACGGGCACAAACGTCTTGGCTATTTATGGATGGGTGAACCGCACGTGACGGATAATGACTGACGGGGAGAAGTGTTGTGACCAAGGGTAAATATGTCAGCCTCCTCGATTGGAGAGGCAGAAAGGTAAACTTTCCACCAAAGAGGTTGGACTTAGGCAATTGGGCCGTTATGGGATTTCAAATCAATACTGAAGGCTTTTGAATTAGTATTTGGATTGAGAGTTAATACGAGTTAGAATTGTTTGTTTGGTATTGGAGTTAATGAATTCTTCAGAGCAGTTCCTCGCGTGTAGGATTGGATCGATTCTGTTCAGATTTTTGGGCCTTAAGGTGGGTGATAGGCATACCAGGCTATCATATTGGAATCCGGTAATTGAGGTATTCAAAAATAGGTTGGCTCTTAGGAAAGGGATATTAATTTCCATCAATGGAAGGGCAACATTAATTAATTCGGTCTTAACGAATTTTCCTATTCATCACTTGTCGTTCTACAAGGCGCCTAGGAAATTATTTTAGGAACTTATTTCATTACAAAGAAACTTTTTATGGCACAAGACTGATGAATGTAAACGTATGGCTTGGGTGAGATGGGATTCTATATGAAAAACAAAAGAGGAGGGAGGTTTAGGCTTGAAAGGCTTAAGATTGTTCAATGTGGCTTTGTTGGCAAAGTGGCTATGGCGTTTTGTCAACGATTATGATGCAATTTGGTGTGGTCTATTGCGACATACATACGACAATTACGTAAAGAATATTCTATCAAGGGATCCGTATGTTGTAAAACAATCTGACTCGCAATGGTGGGAGGACATTATAAGGATAAATACTATTGATGCAGCTGTGCCTTTTCGAGACCTCATTACCATTAGGTTGGGCGACGACACATGAATACCATTTTGGAGTGCGAGATGGATGGGAAGCAATACTTTGAAAGAACAATTTCCAGGCTTGTACTCTATTGCAAATACAACAAGTGTTATGCTTAAAGATATGGGAACATGGGAACCAAATGGATGGAAATGGATTTTGGAATTCCAACTACAGGTTTTACCTCAGCCACTGGCAGCAGAATATCAGGATCTACTATTGATGCTGCAGGATCTCAAACTAGTTAAGGATAAGGCGGATGTAGTGCTTTGGGGTTTGGGTAATCTGAACAAGTTTTCGGTAAAATCATATTATTCAAAACAGTTGCGAACAGAGGAGTGTTGGAGGAGCGGATTAAATTAGCAATGTGTAGCTTGTGGAAATCTTTTACTTCTTCTAAAGCGAAAGTGTTTGGATTGAGGCTTTTTTTGGATAGGTTACCGACGAGGGGAAATCTTTTTTGAAGTGGAATTTTATCAAATTTGCACGATACTGTCTGCGTTTTTTGCTTTGGCCATTTGGAGAATGTAAGTCACCTTTATATTTTTTGTCCTAAGTTTAGGAAGGTTTGGAAAAAAGTTTACGAATGGTTGAATATTGGAGAGGTCTATGAAACATCATTATCAAATCATTTGCTGTCTTGGATTCATAATCTTACAGGAACGGTTTCAAAAACGTTTATTAGTAGTTTGTGGGTGGTAGTTTGTTGGGTATTTGGTGGGGGAGAAATCAAGTACTCTTTAAAGATGAGCCAGGTGATTCAGAGTTAATAGTGGTGAGAATCAATTACTTCTCTTGATGGTGGATTATAATTTTATCTAAGGGTAGAATGTGCTGTAATTTTTACTAGTGGCATATGTATCCTTTTGACTTTTTTGTAAATGCCAGTGTAATCTAATTTAGTTATCGATTGTATTGTGGTTGGAGTACCCCTAAGACCTTCATTTTTAATATACGTATTTGGCTTACAAAAAAATGTGACTGAGTTACATCATATTTCATCTCCATTATTAAATTTATATACATTAAAACTATTTAGCAAATTCATTTACTCATCCATTTATAATTCATTGTATTTTGATCTTAAAACACGATTTGGTCGTAGATTAGATTCCTTAGTATAAGTGTTATGAATCACTCTGATCAAATTATCATGTCCCATATTAATATTAAGTGTTAATTCATTCAAAACTTTAGGGTTGAACATTTATTTATTGATGTTCTGATTAATTTTATTAAATTTAAAATAAAGATAAACACTCGAAAACACTGGACAATCACTTGTTTGAAAAAATAGAGTAGAAAAAATATAGATAATTAAAAAAATAATATAATATCACATTATATATTGAAATATAGTTTAAGAATATATATAATTGTAAATTTTAGTAAGGAATAGAATACATAATTAAAAGTTTAATTAGCATTCACTGCAATTTTCATTCCAGCACCGCAGTGAGTACCAACACCACATAAGAAGAAGTTAGTTCCCTTAACAAGTGTAATATTATCCGCTCCAGATGTTAAAATTACTGATCCACTTAGAGGTTGAGCCACACATAAATTGAAATTTGTCTCGTTCACTTTCACCACGTTGTGCATGGGAGGAACGTAATTAAATACTGCATGCATGTACAAAACATAACATGTTTTAGATAACAATTCATTTTTATACTATAGTAAAAAAAAATAATAGGGGATGTTTAGTTGCTTACCAAGTGTGTCTCCTGCTTTGAAATTTTTTCCTGTAGGCCAACTTTGAACACCAAAGCTCCAACCTTTGTCATCACCAACCGTGAATCTTACTGCATGAGTCATCTTAGTATGAAACGCAAACATACATAATAGTAGCATTGTATTAGCACTTGTGCTATTGGCACTGCATCTTCCCTCACCCATTTTTTATTGATCTAGATAAATATTACTGGCTAAATAATTCTGAGTGCTCAATAGAGAGACCTGAGTGATGATTTTATAGTCTATATGAGCCTAATTAAGAAATACACGCACCATTTATTTTTTCTTATAAATGTAAATGCATTTTTTTAAATTCAGTAAATAGTTGATGTGTAATGATATGTATTTTGTTCAAATATATTAGTTATTTAATGAATTTAGAAAAAAAATAATTTTTCTCATAATTATAATAATAATAATAAAGAAGAATGAAGGGAGTAAGTTAGTACGATCTTTTTCTATGAAAGAGTTTTAATATAGACTTTTCTAACTCTGACTAATTGTTTGTTTTGAATAATTAAAGATATTCTTGAAAACTATAATAAAAATACTATAAAAACTTATTAAAATAATAATAAATATAAAATTAATTATTTAAAATTATTATAGAAATATCTCTTAAAATAAATTTAATAACAATTATGTATTATGTCTAAAGTTTATTTCAAAGTCTATATACATAAATGAAATTTGTTACTATATTTTGCACAGATTTAGAGTAGACTTTCTAAAAAGTGGTAAACCAAATAACAAATATGTATTTTTGTCTAGAATCCGTATATAGCTCTAAATAATTAAAAAATAATATAAATTTGTCTCAATATATATCACACAAATTTAAATGAAATTTCCAAAAATATGATAAAATAAACAATAATTCTACAATTTGTTTAAATTGTCTCAAAGTCTTTACATAGTTGATATTGAAAACACCTCATATTATTTGAGATGAAATTTATTCCTACTCAAATTTTGTATGAAAATGTTAGTTTTTGGTAATGGGAGTAGTATTAAAATGATTTGACTATTAAAATGGGAATAGTATTAAAATAATTTGACTCTTCAAATTTTTTTATGTTGCATCTCTTCTACAGTTTTGTTATTAAACTATTTTACAAAAAAGAAATGAAGAAAAAAAGAACTTTGTCTAAAAATTTGATTTTTTTTCTTATTTAAAAAAAAATATTTTAATGACAATTCATCTTTTGAAAAATATAATAAAAATAATACAGATTAATTATTTACTTCAAACATTTGCTACATGAATCAGAGGACACTAACATTTTAAGTATTAAAGATCAAATTTTTTGGAGTTAGCATTTATGGTATATGTATGCCATTTTATTTTACATTTTATTGACATTCATTATACTCATTGACTTTTTTCACATGGAATTTTTTTTTATCTTTTTAAAATATGTATTTTTCCATGTAAAACAAATTTTTTTAATTTTAATATATATATATTATATATATATATATATATATATATATATATATATATATATATATATATATATATATATATCATTTTAAATTTAATTCCCGCTTTTATTTTAATTTCTACAAAATTAATTTTTATTGAAATTGATCTATATAATATGTATGTAATATTAGTTTACCTATGTATGTCACTAATTTTTTTTTATAAATATTTTTCATAAATTATTATCGTAAACAATTTATTGATACATATAAATCTATAATTTTATTTTTAAAAAAGTACGTATGTCGCTAATATAATTAGTTTTACAAACACATGAGATTCACATTTGTTATTTTCAACCTTTAAATAAATTTATCTAATCATGGAGGTCGTTCTGCGACTAATTTGTAATAAAAAAGAGATTGATAACCAATTGATCGTACCAAATTATTAGAACATGAGATAGGCCAAAGACAAGCGCCTGCAATGCTGGGTGTGAAAGAGGAAGATGGGGTGTACCTGTAAGGCACTCCAATGTTAAAGGAAGAGAGAGAGAGAGAGAGAGAGAGAGAGAGAGAGAGAGAGAGAGAGAGAGAGAGAGAGAGAGAGAGAGAGAGAGAGAGAGAGAGAGAGAGAGAGCAAGTACAGAATATGAGTGTTTCAGGATGAATATTGGATGCCTGACCCTCTTAAATGAGAGGATTTTTTAAAATTCCCCCCAGTGCTTGGCCATTGGTCCCTATTTTTGGAGCGACATAATCGTCTCCCGAAGATTAGGTAACTGCCAGAACTAGCCGTTAGGACAGACAGACGTGCCCATAACTAGTCGTTGGCGTGGGCAGAGGCATAGTTACGGGCACAAACGTCTTGGCTATTTATGGATGGGTGAACCGCACGTGACGGATAATGACTGACGGGGAGAAGTGTTGTGACCAAGGGTAAATATGTCAGCCTCCTCGATTGGAGAGGCAGAAAGGTAAACTTTCCACCAAAGAGGTTGGACTTAGGCAATTGGGCCGTTATGGGATTTCAAATCAATACTGAAGGCTTTTGAATTAGTATTTGGATTGAGAGTTAATACGAGTTAGAATTGTTTGTTTGGTATTGGAGTTAATGAATTCTTCAGAGCAGTTCCTCGCGTGTAGGATTGGATCGATTCTGTTCAGATTTTTGGGCCTTAAGGTGGGTGATAGGCATACCAGGCTATCATATTGGAATCCGGTAATTGAGGTATTCAAAAATAGGTTGGCTCTTAGGAAAGGGATATTAATTTCCATCAATGGAAGGGCAACATTAATTAATTCGGGTCTTAACGAATTTTCCTATTCATCACTTGTCGTTCTACAAGGCGCCTAGGAAATTATTTTAGGAACTTATTTCATTACAAAGAAACTTTTTATGGCACAAGACTGATGAATGTAAACGTATGGCTTGGGTGAGATGGGATTCTATATGAAAAACAAAAGAGGAGGGAGGTTTAGGCTTGAAAGGCTTAAGATTGTTCAATGTGGCTTTGTTGGCAAAGTGGCTATGGCGTTTTTGTCAACGATTATGATGCAATTTGGTGTGGTCTATTGCGACATACATACGACAATTACGTAAAGAATATTCTATCAAGGGATCCGTATGTTGTAAAACAATCTGACTCGCAATGGTGGGAGGACATTATAAGGATAAATACTATTGATGCAGCTGTGCCTTTTCGAGACCTCATTACCATTAGGTTGGGCGACGACACATGAATACCATTTTGGAGTGCGAGATGGATGGGAAGCAATACTTTGAAAGAACAATTTCCAGGCTTGTACTCTATTGCAAATACAACAAGTGTTATGCTTAAAGATATGGGAACATGGGAACCAAATGGATGGAAATGGATTTTGGAATTCCAACTACAGGTTTTACCTCAGCCACTGGCAGCAGAATATCAGGATCTACTATTGATGCTGCAGGATCTCAAACTAGTTAAGGATAAGGCGGATGTAGTGCTTTGGGGTTTGGGTAATCTGAACAAGTTTTCGGTAAAATCATATTATTCAAAACAGTTGCGAACAGAGGAGTGTTGGAGGAGCGGATTAAATTAGCAATGTGTAGCTTGTGGAAATCTTTTACTTCTTCTAAAGCGAAAGTGTTTGGATTGAGGCTTTTTTTGGATAGGTTACCGACGAGGGGAAATCTTTTTTGAAGTGGAATTTTATCAAATTTGCACGATACTGTCTGCGTTTTTTGCTTTGGCCATTTGGAGAATGTAAGTCACCTTTATATTTTTTGTCCTAAGTTTAGGAAGGTTTGGAAAAAAGTTTACGAATGGTTGAATATTGGAGAGGTCTATGAAACATCATTATCAAATCATTTGCTGTCTTGGATTCATAATCTTACAGGAACGGTTTCAAAAACGTTTATTAGTAGTTTGTGGGTGGTAGTTTGTTGGGGTATTTGGTGGGGGAGAAATCAAGTACTCTTTAAAGACGAGCCAGGTGATTCAGAGTTAATAGTGGTGAGAATCAAATACTTCTCTTGATGGTGGATTATAATTTTATCTAAGGGTAGAATGTGCTGTAATTTTTACGAGTGGCATATGTATCCTTTTGACTTTTTTGTAAATGTCAGTGTAATCTAATTTAGTTATCGATTGTATTGTGGTTGGAGTACCCCTAAGACCTTCATTTTTAATATACGTATTTGGCTTACAAAAAAATGTGATTGAGTTACATCATATTTCATCTCCATTATTAAATTTATATACATTAAAACTATTTAGCAAATTCATTTACTCATCCATTTATAATTCATTGTATTTTGATCTTAAAACACGATTTGGTCGTAGATTAGATTCCTTAGTATAAGTGTTATGAATCACCTGATCAAATTATCATGTCCCATATTAATATTAAGTGTTAATTCATTCAAAACTTTAGGGTTGAACATTTATTTATTGATGTTCTGATTAATTTTTATTAAATTTAAAATAAAGATAAACACTCGAAAACACTGGACAATCACTTGTTTGAAAAAATAGAGTAGAAAAAATATAGATAATTAAAAAAATAATATAATATCACATTATATATTGAAATATAGTTTAAGAATATATATAATTGTAAATTTTAGTAAGGAATAGAATACATAATTAAAAGTTTAATTAGCATTCACTGCAATTTTCATTCCAGCACCGCAGTGAGTACCAACACCACATAAGAAGAAGTTAGTTCCCTTAACAAGTGTAATATTATCCGCTCCAGATGTTAAAATTACTGATCCACTTAGAGGTTGAGCCACACATAAATTGAAATTTGTCTCGTTCACTTTCACCACGTTGTGCATGGGAGGAACGTAATTAAATACTGCATGCATGTACAAAACATAACATGTTTTAGATAACAATTCATTTTTATACTATAGTAAAAAAAAATAATAGGGGATGTTTAGTTGCTTACCAAGTGTGTCTCCTGCTTTGAAATTTTTTCCTGTAGGCCAACTTTGAACACCAAAGCTCCAACCTTTGTCATCACCAACCGTGAATCTTACTGCATGAGTCATCTTAGTATGAAACGCAAACATACATAATAGTAGCATTGTATTAGCACTTGTGCTATTGGCACTCCATCTTCCCTCACCCATTTTTTATTGATCTAGATAAATATTACTGGCTAAATAATTCTGAGTGCTCAATAGAGAGACCTGAGTGATGATTTTATAGTCTATATGAGCCTAATTAAGAAATACACGCACCATT